CCTTATTAGGGGAGGTTCATTTGAGAACCTATATATTTATTGGTGCATATACAAATATAACTCATGGATTTCAATGAGTATGTGTATCATACATATATACGTAGTAGATATGTATTGATGAATATATTCATTGASGATATACATATTTTGATAGTATATATAGTCGAATGATCGTGTAAGAAGAAAAGTTATAGTGAAAAGCGTAACAAAARATCTGAACCCTTGATCACTTCTAATCTCATGTCACCCATGAATTACACTATAGAAGTGAATTGATTCGGTCACTTTATCAGTGTTGACATTCAATTACAATTGATCCAAATGTGGAGATATTTTCTTATGTTTTTCACTATAACTTCTGATTCTCATCAAAACTCACTCCAGTATATATATATATATATATATATATATATATATATATGTATACGTTAATGAATAGAGGTTATCACCCTCAATATTTGTTAAAAAGCCTCAAATGATTTGAAATTGGAATGAAAAACAAAATGAACTTTGTGATAATAACACTTCTCCACACTTTTCTTAACTTAAGATTTTAACTTCTACTACCTCTAAACAACTCTAAGGTGATTAATCACCAACACTAACCCCTATCTCCTTTGCTTAAGCCGTAAGTAAAAAAAGGCAAGAAAAGAAAACTCATCTCTCAAACGCCAAAGGCTTTTGTTGTACACTCCAAACAAGCATTAAACAGACTCTCAAGCAACACTGATGCCGGAATCAGGCATTTTGTGTGGTTCGGCCRCGGCAGGCAGTGCCAGAAGGCGTCCTCGTTGAGCACGAGGAGGTAGATGTTTTGCCGGTTTTCTTGATCCACCGTTCCACGGTAAGAAAACACCRGTCCCACCACGGGGCAACCTTCTTGGGCTCATAACCATTGGACGTATTGGTGCTAACATTAGAAGTTGTGGGGCTCGAATGGCACCCCATTTAGGGATAATGTCGTATCCGTCAAGTGTTCCGTTTGGTACTACGCCTGGCTGCCATACGGTTAGGGCTCCGGTCATGGGATCCTTTGGTGACATTGGAGATTTGTCGCAGTTGTTGTTGTTGTCGTCTATTCGGACTTTGAAAAATGTGATACTGATCCTTTTGGTTGGAGATTGACACATGACGTGTCTTGCCATGTCAGCACTGTTTCCCCTCATCACTAAGAGTGACCTGTCGATCATGCTACTTTATTAGTTGATTGGGGCATTAACTTTGCTGCAATACTTGGAAAAAACTTGTGCCAATTTTAAAAATCGTGGGGAAGTGGTTAACAAAAACGTGAAGAGGGTGATCAGATTTGTTTTCCAAGAGGTTTTTTTGCCTCTCTTTTTTAGGAAATGGGTAATCTCAGGCAGACTCATCATGTCAAGTTATGACTGTAACGTTTTTTCTACCTGTGGTTTGTTAAAATTTGCAATTTTCATCCATTTGGTTTAGAAATTGTTGTTTTGGTATATACTCGGTTAATGCTTACCCAATTTGTATTGGTGTCTTAGACCTCCTCCGTCCCAAAATAAATATCCACAATGAAAAAAACACAATTTTATAAAAGTATAATTATTTGCACTTTTAATAAACTAAATGATAATTTTAGCCTTCATAATAAATAGAGCAGTTAATTTCTCAATCTCATAATTTAAGGGTAGAATGGAGGAGAGTATTCACTTATTTTTTTTTTAAAGTGGACATTTATTTTGGGATAAACTAAAATAGAAATGTAGACATTTATTTTGGGATGGAGAGAGTAACTTCTGATTCAAGTTAAAACTATGATTGAAGTTATTGTGTAGCCCATAAATTTAAGTTTATTAAGCAGCTCACCAATCTACTTTTCTATCCATGTGTGACGAGTTGTTACAGTGAATTTTAAATTTTGAAAATAAGAATATGAAAACTTACCCTTCCTTCAGAGAAAGCATGAGTGGTCCTTTGTAGTTTCCATCGTTATCACAGACAAGAGTACGCCCGAAAGCCATTGTTGATTCAGATAGAAGAAGTGTCGAGATGGGTTGCTCRAGATGAGGTGGTTTCAAGAAAGGCTGTGAAAACTCCCCCTGCATATATAATACAAAATTCAGTATCAGAAAGCTACAAATTCTACAAGGATTGAAGAGTGTAAAGAATGAAATATATACCTCATCAAAAAAGTTTATGATACAGCTRTTTGGTCGTCTGTTTTCAGAAATCAGGTGAAACTGAATTAGATGGTCAATGATACCTTCAAGAGGAGCAGGAATTGGCTCGATATTGCCTGTAAAACATAGTTCCAATGTTATATTTATGCGTTCAAAAGAGTTATGGTGAGAACGTGACAACACTTTTGAGCCTTTGGATGAGTTGACTTTTTAATCTAACTTCAATTAGATTCAACTACCTTCATACCCTTGAATTTGTTAGACTTTCAGTAAAAGATAAATAAAGGTAGTTGAATGGAGATGAATGTATATCAAGGTTTTCACTATCATCTTCTCACCATAACTCTTATTTTCTTACCGAAATCCAACCTTATAGTTCAAATCTAGAAATTTTTTGTAAAAGTTTGTGTTTTGCTTACTATCTTGAGTTTTGATAGCTTCATCTTTTATCTGTCCAAAAATAGGAGCTCCAAACTGAATAAGCTCTCGCTTGATTGCTTTCGACTGYTGGTTGTACATGATAAACGTCTCGCCTAATCACACCCACATCAAGAAAAAAAAAGGATTAGATCATTTCAAACAGTTATGCTATAAATTTTCTAAAATAAAATAGTTAAAATCAAAATCTCTACAAACAATTACATCCAAAATCTCTACAAACAATTACATCCAATTCTAACAGCTACTATATTTTARCAATTCCACCATTAATTATATTATTAAAATATTCTATAAATTCATTTATCCCTATTCCCAATACACTTTTTATAAAAACTTCAAAAAAAATCCTAACATGGAAACAATGAAAATAATATATATCTCATCAATATAAAGTTTTAAAGATTTCTCCAAATCTAGAGATTTCTACTTACCATCTTTTTTTTTCTCTAATTTAGTATACACTTGAACATAGCTATTGGAGCAAAAAAGTGTYTAAATCTCYAAAATCTCTAYTTTAGCACAARTGTTAGAGATGCAAACTGTAATTTTTCTCTAAAAAGTTTCAAAAAATTGTTTTGGAAATGAAATATTTATAAGAAGAAGGCTTCTAATTTCTTATTGTAATATATAAATCTATCCTAAGAAGGTCTCAAACATCTAAATCAGATGGAATCCTATGATGGAAAGCAAAGTGGTATATAATTAAGTGCTATATATGTATATATATATATATATATATATATAAAAGAAAATTAATTGGCAAACCTGTTCAATCCCTTACTATCTCAAAACTTCAGTCCCAAAAGGAAAGAATTAGGTTAACTACAAAAGCATCACGGGATCCACCTGAGAGTTCTCCATTTTKGCCAGCAATACGGAGTTCAGTTATATAGTCATTCAACTTAGATAGCTCGCTGCTGTTAAGCATCTCCTCATACAACTTCAACCCTCTCACAACATTCACCTGTGAATATAAACGTCATTCACAAATCCAATTACCAATGAATATATATAATCTCTCTTTTTATGAATATTAACTTTCTATTACCATATGCCCTTTTACTGACTCCTTGGCTACAAACCCCTTTGTCATCTTGATTTCCGCTCGTCGTGCCTCCCAATCTTCTTGGTTTGAGCATATCTCCACACTTTCCACCACCGAATGCGCTTCCTGAGATCCTGCAGTTCMAAACGTCAATAAGTATCTCAACCGTTCTTCTAGCTATGATGCAAATTTGAATATGGATATCGACATATCGTTGTTTAAACATTACCCATAGCATCTCATGTCTTACGAAAGTATCAACTTAGGACATGTTTGTTAGCAGCTTAATGATACTCGTAGCTTATTCAGTCAGCTATACATGACTGTTTGGTAATGGCTTCATGGTATAAAAAGTGGCTTATCTTCTATGGGAACTTTATRYAGAAAACCAAGTTTTTTTTCAAACATGACCCTCGTAATAAAAACACATCCTTCTATTTATGAAAAAACCTCCCAAACAAAAACCAACCAAACAGCCCTTAGCTTAATACTATAATCGTATGTGATTTCACTATAATGTAGTTTCCTGAAAGAAACAAAAATAGATTACAATTACCCTTCCTATACTTTATATGATCGTCCCAACTCCCAATGGTAGGGGTGRGTGTAAGCAAAAGTAAGGTCACGCGGGTTCGATCGCTTACACCACCCTTGAATCAATTTACCTGGAGAGTGGCATATAAGTTGTAACCACCTATTTTCTATGGACTTTCTGCTTTCTAAAAAGGTATTAAGAGGTGAATAGAATACTTAGAAATAAAATATTTMTATTTCACCCCATGCTGACAACTTTATTAGTCATCAATCATTATTATGTTAACATACCATCTATGACATTATTTTGGAGGACCTTCATTAAGACTTTTTAGAACCAGAAATTCACCAACCGCCCAAAGTAGTGAATGTGGACCCACCATTATCCATGCGATTTATTTCCTTCTATCTCTTATTAAAAACATTGGTAGCTTTTTTCAAGTAAAAACAAGCGTTATACATCACTACTACCAAGCACTGGCTACCTCCCACTAACATAGTACGACAAARGTGATGGAATCAATAACAGTAATGCACTAACGCCCAGTCCCAACTTACCAAAGGATACCTAGTCCCATTTTTCCCTATCTTCTTGATTTTCGAATCAAAATCTCCTGGCATGGTATCTTAGAATATTTTAGATTCTTCAAAATGAAAAAATAAAGAAAATAAGKTGAAAWTTTCTAAATTTAGAGAATTCTCCAAAAATAATTAYCYTATAAAAGATAAATTATTCTCTGTTTTTCARTCAATAAGAATCACTAAAATTAAATACATAGGAGAAAGAATTGATATTTTAATAATATAATTTATATTGTAATCTCCAAAATGTAGTAGTTTAGGAGATGAATATATWTTTTTTTTKGAGATTTTGATTTTTAATTCTCAATTTTGAAGAATACGTAAGAGATGTCCCTTCTTTATGCCTCATTCACGTAAAGAAACATATTCTCAGAAAGAAATTGAAAATATAAATCAAATAAGTTTATGTTAAATAAAATAAWTATGTGTTTTCACATGATTTATGTGATAAGGAGAAGACATGATAAGATTTGGGACCTTAAAATTTTATTCCTGTTTTCCTAGTGGGCATCATTGATTTGATCCAGTYAGTGAGCATCTTCGGTTCTTACCATCTGTTAGTTGCTTTTTTTCTCAGCTTTTGGTTACTTGATTCTCTTGGATATATCACTGAGGTTTTCCTTKCCTTATCAGGACCTTTGATTGTATGGATTCTATCATCTTAATAGTTTCTTTAGACATCATTTATGTCTGAAGGGGAAATCCTAATACAGATAGAGTAACCTTRATCTTTTAATCATATATGTTAAGAACGAATTCCTAATATGGCAGTAAGCACGGATAGTAGAAGTAAAGATGTTGTCAAAGGCAAGAAATTATCTCATAATCCCAAAATAAGAACACAATATGAATTATGAAGTCATTCCCTTCTACTGATTTTGCAATCGTATTATAAGYATAAGACAATTGATTGTGTATTAGATACTCAGGGTCATTCYAATCTTTTTGGAGGCCCTATTACACCTAAAGGTTTTAATTACAYTGCAAAATAAGATAACAAACAAATTATAGAGTCAATYATGAGTACTACTACTTTTGTCTTCTTATAGAAATTAGAGAGGGTGAGCTATAGTTTTAGCTTCGTTGATGAAAGGACCTAAACAATGAAAAATTAGGCCCCCAAATTTTGAAGGTCCCGGTCAAAATCACACATTTAACATAGTGAAGAATGCCCATAATYAGATTTAACTTTTCATTTTCGACCATAAACCATGTAAAAGTTAGATAACTAATAACTAATTTGAATTAAGAAACAAATTTTAAAATTACAACTASCATTCTCGGAGTTGGCTTGGTCTAGTGAAATGGGCGGAGGGCACAACATAGAAAGATATAAAGGAATCCACATCGCCCCAAGGGTTAGGATCCAAAGGAAATGTCAACACCTCCACTCACCAAAGAAAACCAAGAAGTAAATGAGTTTWAATTAAATAGGCATCAGTGAATCTTTATGATCAACTGTGTGTAATTTCAATTGCTTTTAACAAAAAAAAATAACAACAGCAACTAGGTGCGGTGACGTCGGTTTTAACGGATCTGGGCTCAAGCTTAGGGTAAACTAACACACATCTACAGGAAATCGGCTCGCWACGAGTGGTGATAACGCAAGTATTCAGTGTTAGAAACACATTTTTGCTTTAAATCAGACCTTGAAATTCTCGCCCCCACCAAAATCCTCGGGAAATTACCAGTAGTAATTGAATTTTGGCTTTTACTGATTCTCACATTCATTTAAGTCTCAACTACACGGTGAAACAGAGACASAACAGGGGAAGGAGGTGAGAATTTTCAAAGTCAAATAATTTTAGTCAATTAAACGGACGTGAAAAATCATCAACCTCAGCTCCTTCTGGAAACGCCGCCTTGTCCCGAGGGAACAAGGGAAGAAAACAGGGGAAATTCCATTTAAAAGAAATTGGAAAATTTTGTTAACATGGAATTTCTCTAACTAAAGTCCAAAATACTAAAGGAATCAACCTTTTAATGTGAATTGTATAGTATATTTATATATATATATATATATATATATATATATATATTGTTGTTGTTGTTGAATTTGTTAATATGATTATTGAATGCCTAAAAATCAATAAAGCTCCAAAACTACCTGTAAAGAGTCCGTTATGGGGCGTACATGTATCTATAAAGCATGTAAGAGCATTAATATTTATGTATTCATACAGGAATGAATTTTAAATTATGAAAATTATAGAGAAACACATGTATGTGATGAGAAACACACGAAAGGAAGAGATCTGAAAATCGGCAACTGTACAATTTGACATAAACAATGTCAAGATGCAGATTAAGAATTCAGACTGACAGACGATTTTTTTCAGGCCTTACAACTGCAATGAGAAAATTAATTAAGCCGTGCTTACCTACCAAATTATATATTAAAACACACGAACACACACAGAGAGAAAGGAACTGGAATCATATATAACAGTAAAAATTATAAAACGAGCAATAATCGTTCGTTACCTGCATCTGTAATCCCACTCTTTGGCGAATTATCCTTGGTGGAATCATCATCAACAACCTCATCACCACCATTTCCAAYGATATCAATGGATTCCTCTTCCAAAATTTCAGGTTTCGTCTCTACAACCGTAGGAGAAACATTTTCTTCAACGATCTTCTCAACGCCTCCTACCTTCGCCTTCTCCTTCTCCTCCGCCACTTTCTGGAGCTCCAGAGTCACATCAGCGATGGAAAAATACTTCTGCATCTGAAGAATTGGAATCCAATTCAGCCGGCGGCGGTGTATAGCAGCAAACACCGATTCGTACTCGCACCTTCCGCCATCTAACCGAGACAGATGTCCACACAGCGAGTCAATAATCGCGTTCGCCGCCGCGAACTCGCCTCGGAACCAGGAGATGATCGCGTTTTTAGCGAAC